TTCTATGGGTTTTGCGGGAGAACTTACCCCAGCGTACCCGTTTGGACAATCAGCATTCAAACGGGCGGTGTGGAATGTCGATGGGCACAGAAGGGCGAAGTCAGTCACCAGGCTAAATTCAACTTCCTTTGCTATTCCTCTTTCACCATCATTTTAACAGGCTGGACTCGCGCTTACAGAGGACTTATCGAACTTTGCTCGACTGGTCTCGGGCGACAGCCCTTCGAATCATCCGGATAACCCCAGGCACCAGTGAAGGCGGCGCATTCACAGTGGAAGGCCAGAAAACTTTCCTACGCTTTTCAAATGGCCAATGGACTTCAAACAACATCTTCCAATTGGTAAGCATGGGTGTCCTTTGTATTTCCCGGTCGGCGACTGCGCGTCTGGGAGCTGCTGCGGATCACGGAGGAAGCCCGGCAGCTGGGCACCTGTGATGCGGAGTGCGGAGATTTGTGAGGGCTTGGTTTGGAATGGAGTGGGAGTTGGGGACTTGGGATTTTGGGTGGGCAGCAACTGCTTGCAGACCGTGGCTCGAGCACGCTGCGCCGGGTTGCTTCGACCTCACGACCTCGTGGGATTGCGCGCGCATGTCTCTTGCATGCAGCGGGAGAGGAGCCGCAACACAAACGAGCCGTTGGGCAACATTGCCTTTGCTGAGGCCAACAGCAATAATGCCTTGACGTCACGTCAAAGGTAGCAGGAGACCTTTCACACGAACGTTTACAGCAGAAATGCACTTGATTTCGAGCCTCGATGCCCTTTCGCCCCACTTGAAGATCATTTGGCGGTTGCTTCGATTTTGGGATAGCAGTGGAAAGGACAACACCTAAAGGAATGGATTCATGGAAATGACTGGCTGGTGCGGCGCGCTTGGACTGTTGGTGATTGATAATCTTGATCATTGACATCGTGTAACACTATTCAAATTGCTGGTACTCTCTGGAGGATCTTCATCTTGGAGCCCTCCCAGCTTTGGCTTTGTCCCTTGAATTTGACCTGTTGGGCGGTTGGCATGGCACCCTGCTGGTGAGCAGACATGCTCCACCGAGCAGATGCAAGAGCAAGTCTCAGTGCCTGTGTGTTGTCAGACACATCTCGCATCTGTCAGCTGTTTGAGACAGGCTCCATGGCCCTCCCATGCACACAAGGTGACACAAAGTGCCAAGCTGCACTCATCATGGAGATTGCACCTTGTGCAAAGGTGTGAGGCCAACGAAAGAGGAGTGACCTGGGAGCTTGGGGACTGTGCACACTTGTCCATTTATTGGAATATGGGCATCCCCAGGCTGCTCCAGGATGGCCTGTGCAGTGTGATGACAGTTGTTAGGATGCAACATGGTGCATGCACCTGAATCAAGCAAGGAGCCGCGCAGCCGTAAGGGCTGGTTTTGGTAACAAAGCGAGCACAAAATGGCCAACCCATGCCCCCCAATGAAGTGACTCGGTCACCAAGCACTGTCACCTCCAAGTGCTTGTGGCATCCATTGATGAACGAGGCAGTACCTGGGATGCTTGGCCCGCTTAGAATTGCAAAAGCTGATGGGCGTCAAAGGCAGTATTCCAATCAACAACGCACCCAATTGGTTGCTTCCAACAATTCCAAGCTCATCGAAGGTCGCTGCAGACCGCGCTGCAGGAAACCGCGAAAATGGTCATCATCACCATGATTTCTATACAACACTACAGGGAGATTGTAGAAATCGCAACGGGCCAGATCTGTTGTGTTCGCGCCAGGTTGTCGCAGCACGGAAACCGGTCGCCGGTCGCCCGAGGCGATGACGACAAGTTTGCAAAAATGAATGATGATGACGACACAACCATGAGGCGCTGATTGGTCTCCGACGGCATTCCATTGCAGGGGAATTTCGACCCCTCATCCCGCCAGTCTTCTTTCCATCCGGGCCCCCTCCCCGCCCCAAAACCGGCCCAGCCCACAACAAAAGCGCCAAATCGTCTCTGGCGCCCAGGCTGAGCCCAGTTTGCCTCTTCGCAATGATGCGCGAGGCCTCTTGCCAGCAGCCGCCGGCAGCAGCCTGCCCGCAGCGCCGCTCGGCCAAGCAGGCGGGCCGGCCCCTCCCCGCGGGGGGGGGCCACCTGGGGTCCGCCGCTGCCCGCAAGGACGCCAAGGCGGGGGCCTGCTGCGTCAGTCGCGCCGGCTCCGGCGTGAAATTCGTGCGCAGCAGGCTGGTGCGGGGGGGCTACGTCGGTCGGCCGCGGCTGTTCACACGGAGGGCGTTCACCAGCGCGCGGAGCGCCAGGGCTGCCGGTCAACGCTGCCAGGCAAGGGCGGACACCGACGGGGGACCATGCAACCCCGGACATCCCCCACGACGGCATGATGAGACACAGACCCCTGCGCCATGCACTCAAGATGATGGGAGCCAAATAACGGTGTCCGCCCGATTGCTGTTGTTAGCTGGGTCCAAACATCGCCACCGTTCATTTTTAGAGAACAAGGCAAGGAGGCACCAGTCAGCTTCCTATTTTTGCTGGGTCCAAACACGGGGCGCGATGCTGCTGCCCTCGCCCTCGTCCCAGCTGAGCGCGCCGATGACGTCACCTTTTGAGCCATGACGCTGGCGGCTCTCTGAAACCAACCACCCAATGCGCGAATTCCCGCATGGGTGCGTGTGCTGACGTTTAACTGCCATGCCTGTTGCACGATCAGAAACACACTTTGGTGGACCTCTCGAAGCTCAAGGTGAGCCACGGCGCGCATCTGGACGGTGGCCCAGGCTTGGCTGTCGGTGCTCGCGCTAAGCACATTGCTACCCCGCTGGCTCTTAGGTCGTGGCTGCCAGACAGCACTGACGCAAACACTGTGTAGTCTACAGTCCGTCTGTTGCTTTGCGCCCTTTGTTTACCTCAAGGGCTGGACCCCTCAAGGACTGGACCCAAATACACTCAGCAGATCATCCATAGCGCGCACAACAAAAAGCGTCAGATACTTCTCAGCGTCGATCCGACCCTTTCCAGGCATGCATGCTTCCATGATGTGACACACAACATTTCAGGATGGTGCCTGGCCGTTGGATCAACACACTCTGATTCCATCGCAGAGCAGCTCCCTGAGGAAGTACGTCAAGGTGTTTGGCCTCAAGGACATCAACGTGTACAGCAGGAAAGAAGACCTCTGTCGTGCAGTGAAGCGTCACTTCGCCGCCCAGGTGACGCTCCTGAACATGACGAACATTTTGGGGAACAATTGCTCCGTGACAGGCCAGCAGCAATTGCCCCCTGCAACTCATCACATTCCCTCCGGGTATCAGAGGCCAGAAATGCGCGGGTAAAACCCTGCAGGGGTACGCTCCAGGGGTGGATCGTAAGCTGGCCGGCTCAACATCTTTGGACGTACGGTTTGCGGGGGTTGCCGGGGCAGCAGGGACATTCGCCGCTTCCGCTGCAATCCCTGTCATCCTGTGCACACTCAACTTGGGCAGCCCTCCACAGAAGAATTTCTCCCAAATTGCACAACAAAGGCAATGCCAAATGAAGCAGTGACAGTGACAAGTTTGCACTCGCGGTTGTCTTGCCAATGTCCCCAGGTAGTGGACGAAGCTGATGTCATGCGGCGAATCGTCGCCATGAGGAAGCTCGGCCATCAACCGAAGATGGGAGTGCGGCGGCCCTGAAGTAGGCAATGGCTTGGGGTGACAGCCCCCACGCCTCAGCAATGAGCCACTGTGGAGGCAGCAGAGGCAGCGGCAGCCCATGACGACCAACAAGGCCTGCACGTGGCATCCCTTCCACACGCAGATCGTCGCTGCGGGTCATCAGCGTCCCTGAGGAGACCAGCAGGCTTGCACGCAGAGCACAAGGTTAAGATAGGGCGCTCCAGGGAGTTGGCTACCTTTCCACTGAAGGACGAATGTCAAGCAGGCCTCTCGCAAGCAACGCAGGGGTCCTGCTCAGAGAAAAACACTGTGGCGCACAGTTGTGACGCCCCCTGCACAGATTGATCTTGTGTGCCACGTGCACCACCAGAGTCGCACATGGGGTCGCGACAGCTGCGTTGGGATGTGCACCAAGATCGATTGATGCCTGTTGATAAAGGGAGGTTCGATGATTCTACACACAGTACCTGAACTTATATGCAGAAACAACATGATACGATCACCGCCCAGACACCAGCTCTGCTGTGTTGAGATCGCCTGTGGACGCCATGATGCAAAAACCTGCAGTCTGCAAACAACACACAGCTGGAGCCTTCCATGAGGACACCTGGAATAGGCATGAAGTCAGGCTGCCACAATCAGCAACCAATGATGAAATCACAAGACATTGAGTGCAGTCTGTGCGTATACGTCTCCATCAGGACATCGCTACACATCATTAACACACATGTCAACAGAATGACACAACTGACTCGCACAGACAGCCAATAATTGCCAACCGACAAGGCCAGACCAAAATTGACAATATTCAACCTACCTTGGACAGCAGCGCCACAGGACTGTTGTCACTGGGCCTTTCAAAGTTCCCTGCATGACATGTTCTATTGCTGAACACCTCCATGAAATGTTTCCCACTGTCACTGCTGATTGAGGACGCTGTTCCGGCCCTGGCACATCATCAAGCCTCGCTGAACAGCCACATGGTGTTTCTGGAATGGAATCCCACAGCAACCTGTGTGGCCATGGTGCAGCCAGTGCACGGGAGGCCTGCATCTTCGTTTTGCCAAAATCTGTCAATCAACACTCTGCCTTTGAGCACATGAATCCTGTGGCAGTCGTCGTCTATGGTTGCAGCAGGAGGACGAGCTCAAGATGGAGGACAACATTCCATCGCCAGCGACTCCCCAGGCACATGTTTTGGGGTGCAGTCCGGCATGGTTTGGGCGTTGGGGCTTTGCCCAGACTTGGGCCTGGGACTGGGCCCATTAAAGAAGCAACGAGGGTCACGCGGTGCATCTTCTATCGATCCATAACTGTTGCCTTTCTGTTGCCCAGCACGAGGCGTTAATTGACCAGAAGAGCACATCTGCTGGTCTGTTCCCTTCAGTGGCTGAAGTGGCCCAGCATGAGGGATTCATCGACCATGAGCGCATCTGTTAGTCTGTTCCTGTCGGTGGAGGAAGGCGCCCATTCCTGCACTGAGGCCGTCATCCTATGCTGTGTGTCAGTCACAACCTGTTTGTGAAAAGGACACCCTGCACAGAGCACTACTTGGGATACGTCCCAGTGCAGTTGCTGTGCATGGAGAACAGGGGGTGACTGTGACTTCACCCCACCCTGTACAAGTAACTCCAGGACGATCATCCCCATAGGATGCATGGAGAATTCTGGGAAGTGCCAAAGCAGTGCCTCATTCCGATCATCTGTACGGATATCTGGTGTATGTTGACCAGCGTTGCTGCGGCTTCTGCAGAGCATGCATTGCTGTTGTTGCCTTTCTCTATAACAGAGAGACTCAATGATCTGCATCATATGCTCAAGCCACAGACGGTGTTGGACAGCACTGAACGTTGGCAAAGTGTTTTCCAGCCACACTGAAATTGATTCGAAGAGGAAGGCCCCAGTCGTCAGAGGCCAAAGAAGACAGGAAGGCTTTGTCAATTGATGGCACCTCCTTTGCTCAATCATGTACTGCTTGATCTGTAGACTTGGCTCTGACTGCAGCAAACGTTCCACCACTGGTTGCTGTACCTGAGGAGCTTCATGGAGAAATCGAAAATCTGGACTGGAAAACATGGTGGGCATCTTCACTGTTGACAACTGTTCTCTCTGCCAAAGAAAACTCTGTAATGATCTGCCTCTGCCTTGAAGGTGCTATTACCTGATGTGCGGCATCGGATCCAAGGGATCGTGCAGCAGCATACTGAAACATCTACGGACGGTGAACACTGCCTGCACCAGAAAACCGTTTGCCACACATGCTCCCATTCTCCCAGCATGGCTTCTTTACCTGGCATGGTGCCACAGCTAACATTGCAGAAAACAGCCTTGAGGACAGGTAGGGAGACTGCTTGAACTGCCTGCCCTTCTTGCAGTATACCAAATCATCAGCGCACCTCTCTGGAGTGGCATCTCCTCTTCCGGTCGCCTGCTTCATGCACCACAATGAATATGGAAGCTGCCAAAGTCTGCAACGGCCTTCCCTTCTTCAGCAGTCGAGAAGGGGCAGAGCGACTTTGTATAGGCAGTGCACTCTCTGTCGATGAACCTGTTGAACCTGTTGAAGCGACTGCCACTTCTGTTCTTTTCGCGTTTGGGGTGGATTTTGACGTCACAGACAGAATGCTGACTTACACCAGCTACCTTGGTCCATATGCTCTGTCCAAACTGTTTTGAACTGAGCTTACAAGAAAGACATCTGTCGTCCGCCCAAGGCATTCCCATTCACCCCAACCTGGGCCACTGGCTGGTGAATGTGCAGCTGCCACCTCTGCTGCGCCCATACATGCCAGCACCTTGCATGCAAAAAAGGCTCTAATACTGGGTACACGTCTGCAATGCAGATTCTGCAGGAAGTCAGCCTCTGCAAGGCTGCCTGCAGTCCTCTTGTGCCACTTAATCCTGATCATCATGCCGGTCCTTTGGGGCCACCACCCTCTCTGCCCTGTCCTTAGATGGCGGATCCAGCCTCTCCACCTTCCTCCGCTTCTCAAACCTATCTGTCTTCTCGAACCTGTCTGCCTTTTCAAAAGGTGCTGGCCTCAAAGGGGGCCGTTTCTCCAGCCTGTCAGACTTCTCATATGGGGCAGGCCTCAGGGGAGGCCTCACAACATCCCGACGCCTGTCTGGGCCACCAGCACGTGGGGGAGGCAGTCGACCAGGAACTCTGTTAGTCCGGACTGGTTGCCTCTCGGATCTTACATCACGCGCTGGCATCAACCTGGGAGCACGATCATAGTCTGCAGCATATGATCTTCCGTCCTCAGCTGTCCTCCCCACCACCGTTTGCCTCCCCACAACAGTCGATGCCCCCACCGCTCCTGACCTCCCCACAGCTGCTGGCCTTCCCACGACTGTGGACCTCCCCTCTGTTGTGTAGGCCCTGCCAGTGTCCTCGTACCTAGTCTCGTATTCTGCATACTCCACGTTTGCATCGTAGTACTCATAGGCATCTGCAGGATACTCGCTGTCCAGATACTCTTGCCGCTGGGCGCTGTAACTGCCGCTGCACACGCACAAAAGGGCGCAAATCAAGGTCAGCAGCCAGCCCATCACATCTCAGGTCACTGCTGGGTCCAAACTGTCCAGCATTCATAACTGCATGCTTGTCCTGATGCAGCTGGAGAGTTCTGTTCCGCCTTTCTCAACCTGAAAGGAACTCGGCTCTTGTGCGAGCAGCGGGGTGCCCATCACACGGCCGGCTTCTACTTTCAACACCAGCTTTGCCCGTTGAGCAAGACAGCAGGGCATGGCCAGCGGCAAGGGAACAGCTTCTACACGAGGCATTGCAGCGGACCCACCTCTTGTGGTGAGATTGCGTGTACTGCGGCTCCTGTTCATATCTTGCATCCCTGCGGCAGAATCCAGCATTGAGGAAAATTCACCAAACCCCGCCGTCCAAACATGCACAAAGAGCACACCCCCAATCAGCCGCTCTCCCCCCGTTCAGGCAACGTTCATGGCGCCCAGAGATCCCCGTCGAGCAGGCCCGCAGCCCGCACCTGGAGTAAGTGTCGTAGCCCCGATCGTAGGTGTACTCGTCCGCGGCGTAGGACCTCTCATACGCATCCCGCCCCCCGTACGCGTCCTTCTCGGCGCGAACGGTCTCTCCGGTCGGGCGGACCTCGTACACGTAGTCGTTGTACTCCCTCCTGGGCACCCTGTCCTCCACCCTGGGGTCTCGCCTGTAGTACCCGCCCTCCCTCCTCGGCACCGCAGACGCGGCAGCCGGGCGCACGCCGTTGCGCGCATCCACGTACCTCGCATCCCTCCCCACCGTGTACGGTTCCCTTCGGAGGGGCTCCCGCCGCACTACGTAGCCCCCGGCTCGCTCCCCCCCCTCGCCGAAGTCCCGTGCGCGGTCGCGGAATGGATGCGGGTGCTGCTGGTCCTGGGGTATGGCGTGGCGCACGCTGATGGTCCGGCCGTCCACCTTGGAGTTGTGTAGGCCCCGGATGGCGTCCTCCATCGCCCGCTTGTCGGGCAGCGTCACGAAACCGAAGCCGCGCGGGCGGGAAGTCATCCGCTCGCGCATCACCGTGGCGTCCAGGGGGTGGTAGCGCCGAAACACTGCACGACGCAGGCGACAACAATGCAGCCAAGGCACGAGACTTCCCACCAGAAGAAAGTTCCACAGCATCTGCAGGAGAGGCCGGAATGGGTCCTCAGCCCCGGCGCTCGCCTCCGGGGGCGGTGGCCGGCGAGGCGCGGCCGAGCGCGCAGGTCGGAATCTTGCGTGTGAGCAAAGCTTCCTTGCCGTTACCCACCCGCCTCCACCACCTTCGCCACCGCCGCCAGCGACACGCAAGGCATTTCCGCGGCCGGATCCCCTTACAGGCGCGAGCCCCCAAGTCACGAAGGGCCGCGCGGAACGCCCCAGCCATTCCCGACGACAGCAACGCCCGCGGCCGAGCCATCCAAGTGCATCGTGCCGGGGCGGCCGTCGCGCGCCCGAGCCCAGAACTCACGATCTTTGAGCCGCCTCTCGTCCACCGTCTGCGTGATTCCCCCGACGAACACCTTGCATGGCTCCACGCCGTTCTCGTCGTCCTCCCTCTTACGGACCCTCCCGCCCTTGGGGGCCACCAGGTGATCGGCCCTGCCCCGCATGTCGTCCCTCGCCTGGTACCGCGCCAGGGCTGCAATCCAAAGCCCGCGAGCGAGCTCTCAAGGCGGGGTGGGGGGTAGGAGAGAGCAGGCGGGCCGGCACTGCGCGGCGCCCGGTCGCAGCGGAGCTCGCGGTCCTTTCAGCTGGGGGCAACTTGAGTGTGTGGGGCGTCCAGCACTGCGCGAACATGGCAGCCTGGACGCCCTGGCAAGCGGCAAAACTACTGCCGCAGATGGGCGCCTGTACACCGGTCGCGGGTTCACAACGGCGCCATTATGCGACGCCCAGCCCCCGTAATGGGCGCATCTGGGCCAGGATGACCTGCGGCGCTCCGGGCCCTACTCCCAGACGCGCACGCCCTGCCGCTGCGCAAACAGATACTTCCCCCTGCCGGTGCTCCCGCCGACCCCTTGCGTCAGAGCGCCACGCCTCCGCGGCCCCACCTTCTCTGGCGCCCCGAAACTCCTCGACCGTGTTGCGCATTCTGCCATGGCCAGCGAAGGAGGCTCCCCGAAAGGTGGCGTCAAAAATTGACAGCTGCCCATCGGCCGATTTGGGGCTTTCGCTGTCGGTCGCTCCCGCGCTGGCGATGCTGACGATGGGCGGCCCCACGCAGGCGGCGCGGGCGGCGCGGAGGACCACGGGATGGACGGTTCCGCGGCCTCCCTCTCCCGCGAGGGATCCCTTCAGCCGCAATGGATGCAGCACAAGTCGATCGGCGGGGTAGGATGTCCCCCCGCTCGGCCCCCGCCCGCCGTCCCCTGGGTCGCGATTGCCTCCAATTGGCCGCTTCCAGGCATTTGTCGCCGGTGCTGATTGCTCAATCGGGTGTGGCGACAGGGAGGGGGGGGTGGCGTTGGCGGCGACAGCGCGGGAAGGTGGCTCGGGCTGGAATCCCGGCCCTCCGGCGGCGAGCACTGGCAGGGATCCGAGGAGGCGGGAAACTGGGCGGGCGCGGAGCAGGAGCGGGACAGCGCCCGGGGGCGGTGGGAGGGCCGGGAGGACGGCGCGCCGGGCGGCCGGACCTCGAAATGGCGCAGCGACGATCGGGAGACATGGGCGCCCGCCAAGGACAGGTGGGGTGGGGTGGGGGGGGAGGCACAGGGCGAAATTTGGATTCGATGGGCGCATTTTTGGGTGCTGATTTGGTGGAGGTGTGGGTAGGTGGACGTCCGCACAGGACGGCAGGCGGTGGGTGGATCCTCCGGGCCAGGGGCGGCAGAATCGGAGTGACCGAGGTGGGTGGGATGCACCGTTGGGCGTGCGCGCTGAAGTGGCTCGTGCTGTTTCCCAGTGGGTCACTATGGTGCGTGTGGGGCGTGCAGATCATTGGGGCAGCACCGAGGCGGGCGGGCTGTCGAGGAGCTATGGGGACAGGTGGGACACCGACGGGGACCGGTGGAAGGCGAGCGACAGGGACGCGTACGTTCCGAAACACGACTACGTGCCGAAGAACCCGCGCTGGAACGATGAAGGTAACAGGCTGCTCCGCTCTCTGGCCGCCTGAGGACATTGCTGTCAAGCCTCGCTCAAATTGTTGCTGTCTCCTTGTCCTGGCTTTGTTGCTCATGGGTGCATCTCTCGGCTGCGTTGCAGAGAGGGGAGACCGCTGGCGGCCTGCGGGAGGTAATCGCTGTGCTGGATTCTGGTGTGCTGGTTGCTTTCGGTCCACAAGGCCGCTGGATGCTGATTTGTGATTGTTGCTGCCAGTGGCTGTGCGCACAGAGATCCAGCCTCCAAGAGGCTTCACAAACCAGCGCAGCCGTGGTGAGTCGGCTTGGATGCGACAGATGCACCTGTTTATGTGTGACACTGCCCAGCATTTGGTCGAACAAGCCTCTGTCAATTGCCAGCAGCTGTGCATGTATTTTGAATTTCATGCAGTGGAGCTGCACCCTCTTGTTGCTGGTCATTGTGTGAAGCACTCTAGTATTATAGAACCCCTGCTTTTTGGCTTCCCTGCTTTCTAGTATGTCAGAGTTCCCTTCGAGTCATGGAGAGTAGATTGGGGATATGTATGGTATTGTGGGACCCAGGTGCGGTGACGGACTTAATTCTGGCTTCCCAATGCTCACCATTGTGACAATCTTTGGGGTTGTGGCATATCTCTTGTTGTGCACATTGTCACAATCGCCTTGGTTTCATAGCAGGAGCAGCAGGGGGGCTGCCCTACAGAAGCGAGCGCGATGGTGGAGATGGAGCATCGTTGCCACCGCACATGAAGACCCATTCCCATTCCAAATTGGCAATCGGAAAGTACAGCAAGAAGCAGTTGTTGGATATATATGACACCATGCTGCAGAAACTTGGGTCCTGCTTGCCCATGCCCGATGAGGCTGAAAAAGACTACCCTGGGCTCCTCAAAACTGAGTACGACCAGCCACACTCCATAAGGCTCAGGCAGAGTGGCAGGCTAGGCGAGGAGGATGACAATGAGGAGCCTCCTCTTGGAAGAAGCGTGGGCCGGGATTCCGCGAAGGATGACAGCCTCCTGTCCTTGTTAATGAAGGGAGGCCCCAGTTCAGGGATAAGCAAAGAGGACATTGATACAGACCAGTGGATGTACCAGGACCCGGATGGGAATGTGCAGGGACCGTTTGGAAAGGAGGACATCTTGAATTGGTGGGAGGAAGGGTTCTTCCCAGAAGACCTGCCTGTGCGGTCTGCCCGTTGTGGGAACAATGACTTTGTGCCGCTGAGGCAGCTCTTGAAGATGTGGAACCCACCCCCTGGCTTCAGGATACCAAGGCAAACGTCCCTGTCGTCTCGGGCCTCTTTGAGCAGGGTTGAGAGCACTGGGCAGTCATCCAACCAGCACATGGGCCAGGCACCATTGCAGAACACGACACTGAGCACAGGAGTCGTCAGTGACTTCAGAAACATGGGCTCTTCACCACCCCCTGCGCCTCAGCCTGAGCCTCGGATCTTACCTCAAGCACCAGACCAAACCGCTGGCCGTCTTGGCTCCCAGGGGGGCTGGCAGATGCCTGATCTGGGCCTGGTGGAGCAAATTGGCCAGCGACCATCTCTGGAAGGGCATCCTTTCGACCGGGTCGGGCAGTCACTGGCCATGCTGAACCTGCACCATTCCCTAGGATCCTCAGGTCCACCGTCCAATTCACAAGGACTACCACTGATGGGGCACGTTGGCGAGGCACCCATGCCCGCCTACAATCCCATGGTGGGTCTTCAGCAACAGGCAGGCCTTCAGCAGCAGGCAGGCATGCCTTATGGTACCCCTCCCAGGCAAGGGGCCCACTCACTGGCTGGGCCGATGGGAGACCCCCCCCTGGTGCCGTACCCTTCGCATGAGATGCCCTTGCACCAGCTCGATGGCCTGCATGGCATCCCTGGGCCTTCAGGCCGCCACCGACCAGGCATACCACCAGATCAGTCAGCACAGGACATATTCAACATCGACATGGGAATGGATCAGCAGGGCGGTCGCGCTCCATTTAACATGCAGCACTTGGGAGGCCCCAATTTGGGCGGGTTCCCTCCACAGGCCCAGAATCCAATAGGACGGCCAGGTGCCATGTCTCTTGACACTCATGTTCTGCTCCAAGGAGTGAGGAATCCTGCACAGGCTCACATGGCCAGCGGAGGATTGCAGCAGCCAGGGGGTGCATATTACAACTCTCCATATCACATCCCTCCACCGGGACCCCAGCCACCCCAGTGGGGAGCGACAGATGGGGCCCTGGCCACTGGGCCTGTGCCAGGCCCTGCTGCAGGCGTGGCCGCCAGTCCTGCTGCTTCGATCCTGAATGCCACTCAGCAAGGTTGGGAGTCCCGTTCAAGCACGAGTGCCGGGCCCCATATCCTGGCTGGCATGCCCATGATTGGAGCAGGGGAGCCCAGTCAGAGCTCTGCAGATGGTGTAGGAGGTGCTGGGCTGCTCCCCCGAGCTCCTCAGCTTAGTCAGGAGGTGAGCTCTGCTCTCCATATC